AACTGACATATTTACAGTAAAAATAACTCGGCTCCCCTGTCTTCTTCCTCCCACTTCTCATATCTCTTAGCAGATGAAAAGGTCATCATTCACCTACAGGCTTTACACACACTGGTGGGGACTTGGGCACTTTCCCTTTGCATCAACCTCATCTCAAGTTGAGGACCTGATGTTACAGAAGCTGTTCCTGTCATCTTACGTTTTGATTAATTACTTTAAATAGTTTAGAAACTGGAGCAATGCTTCTTTTGAGAAAAAGATATCTGAGAGAGAAAACACGAGTTGCTTCAGTGAACTCCAATTGCTGTATGAAGTACACAGTCATTAAATGCTCCAGGAGCTGCTTTAATTTAAACGTGGGGGGAAAAAAAAAAAAAAAAAAAAACCATTGGAAAAGGGCAGTTTTGGTGTACCAATTAAAAATGATGCCTTAAATCTTTAGACCTTTCTTTCCAACTTACATAACTGAGATGTATGGGGAAAAGTAGGGCAGCAAACATCACCTCAGCCATGGAGACAGTCCCCAAAGCCTGGCACTTTGCTGCTGTGCCAGGGAAGGAGGCAATCTCCAGTGGCTGAGTGATGCTGAGCAGTTCCGACAGGCTGTCTTTGGCAAAGCACCCACGCTCTTAACGCTACCTTGACATGCCAAGGGCACTTCAAAAAAATCACAGTGAAAAGGAGATGTCCAAGTCCTGCAGCTCACTCCAAAGTTCCACAGGAGAACCAAGGCTGGAATGGAGCTGCTGCTCAAACAGTACCAGGTGCAGAATGCAACTGGTGAGCAGCGTTTGGGCGTTTCGTCTTACTGCAAAGGGAATTATCTGAGCAGAATTCTCAGAACTGCAAAAGCAAAACAAAGCCTTCAGTGTGTTGTGCAGAAAGGTTAAAAAGGAAATGAGGGTTCTCTTTTCTGAGATGAGGAAATCCCCCCCCCCCCAAACCCACTGCACACACAGAAACACGCGTGACAAAATTAGAGGAAAGGAAAAGCACAGGGACTGCAGCTCTTCCACAGCCTGGGGAGATCACTGCTGGCTAACAAGTGCTTGGCTTGTACATCTGACACCCCCCTGCACACATGGCACAGCTTCAGCTCTGGCTGGGACAGAATAGATCTTTCTAGAAGCAGCAGATTGTCCATTAGGCCATCAAGGCATCACGGAGTTGGAACTGTCAGACTCACACGGCAGAGCAGGAACAGAGAGCATTATTAAGCAATTATTTCTTTAGTTGGAATGATGAAAGACTTCAGGGCTGCAGCACACAAAGTTCATAAATTAGTGCAAAGACAGCCAGCCTATAAATTGGAAGCTAGTTGGTTAAAACTAAATACAACTACATTGTTTTAACTTTCTTCTTCTATACAGTAAATTACTTGTCATTATTGATTCTTCCTGAAAGAGGAGTCTCAAGGTCTGCAAAAATATTTCTCAAGAATTATCATAATATTTAAACACTGAACTAAACTAAAAATCCTTTACAACACACAAGGTCAAATCTCATTAACCCAAAAGCCATACACACATTTAACTCATTAGCTTGTATGAATAAGAAATTTCCTCTTTTCCCATCTCACAGCTACAGCTGCTCTGCAATGACTCCAAAAGCCCAAAAAGGACATGGATAACTCACACAGCTTTTATCCCATTAGCCACGGTCTGCAGTTCTCATAATCATTAGCTTTGAAGTGTATTAAACAAACCAGAACACGACCTTAGAGCTGATATTTTAATCACACCACATAAGAACAATTCTTTATCACAGATACTTCATTAAGGCCACCAAACGAGATGCTATTGAGAACTACCCAAGCCACAAACAGGCAAGGAACTATTCTCACATTACTTTATAGCTACAGACCTTCTCCAACACAACCTTCCTAGTGACTGCACTGAGGTATTTACACCTGAAATAAACACATTCTTAATGGGATCCATACATCTGTACATCCCTGTCGTTTTGCACTGCTTCAAATGCCAAGTACAGAGGGAAAATAAGCACCAAAAACTTCACCCTTATTAATGAACTATGGGATTAATTTTTTTCTTTTGAAGTGGCTACAGCTTTATGTCCTGGACTATTTCACAAAGAAGTTGACAGAAAATGTGTCCTCCTGTCAATTCAATAATTCAAGACTCAGACAGTATTTCCCAGCCTCCTGCAGGAATACATGGTATGTTATTTTCCCCACCTCTATGTTCTGCTAATGTTTAATCATCCAGTTCACAAGACCACACTAGGAAGGCACAAATTAAACCCAAAATTTTTAAGGGATTCCCAAATTAAACTACTCTGTTTTTTCATATATACAAAGAATGTATATATTCATAAAGACACATTTATCACTAATTACAGCTGACTATACAGACATCTTTCCCTACCATCTGCCCATTTTATTGTATCAGAGACATGCAAGAGATATAAAATAGGGAAAACCAAACATTAACTTTGGAAACCATGCTTACACACCAATTTTTAACGTTATTTTGAACACACAGCTCAATTCAGATAAGGACAGCCTGAAGACTCAGTACAGGACAGATGTACCCTATATTAATTCAGCCTGTGCTTTACACAGACAGAATAATGTATTGCCCACACAGAACACAAATTGCTAGAAATTATTTTAAAAGGTATTCAGGCATGCCAACAATGTGTCTTCAGTGATGATGAGCAGCCCAAAAAATAAATCTGAAGTTTTGAGAAGTAAAACATTAATTGCAAAAGCCTTTAAAGAGGAGGGAGCAGTTGGATCTTGCTGTGAAGAATTCTACCAGCACTAACCCATTTTCATGGCTACGTGCTGTGATACACAAGGTTATAAACTGAACTAAGCTACACATAAATACAACATTGACATCAACAGAATAAATTTCAGGAGAGTTGTTACAACAATAGTGCTCCTAGAACTGTTCACCCCTGAATATGAAAGGAGATGACTGACACGTTCATGAATAACTTTCATCTACGTGTGAGCAAATCCCTGACAATGGCAGATGACGAGACAAACTCAGAGCAAATTTCAAAATCCAACTCCAATTGGACTAGAGGATGTGAAAATACAGGACAGACAGTCTCATGAGGTGAAATTTTGGAGCTCGTGACTGCCTTTAACAGGAAACTTTACACTGCCACAAGCCTTCACATTGCATTACATCTTAGGCTGCCCTGTGTAATTCTGTAGACAACCCACACCTTAAAAAAAAAACCATCACCCTTTTCTGCTCCCTGCCCTCTCTTGGCAATTATTCTTCATCACATTCAACCAAGCCAGAGTAATTCTAAAAAATACAATGGATGTAAAATAACAAAAGTGTGAATCTGGTTCAACCCCCAGAACTCCAACCAAGACCTGACAGAATCTGGAAAAGTATCACAAAATCGACAGAAGAGGAAACTATCTTAAGTTTTAGCAGCTCTATGGCTACAGCTTTGTAATTTTATTTAAAACATACTAATTTCACTGAAAGGATAAATAACCATTAAGCAGACATTTGGCTCAACCTATGCTACAACATTTTACTAAACACCTCTCCCCTACACAGAAGGGCGTAATTTTCCGTCAGACCAAATCACCAGATCAAAATGAGGGGAAAATTGAAGAAGTTGAGCTCAAAGGTGATTAAGACTACAAAACTCATACATATTATTTGCTGCAGTTTTTAAGCAGCCCTTTAATACCAGGATGCATAGAGTATTTGATATGTGAGAAATCACCCATCGATATGCGAGAGATCTGATTAAAACAAAACGAGACGGCGTGGGAAGGAGAAAATTCACACGTGTAACAACCTAGGTGCCTTTTTTCCTATTTTTCCCCCAGCCAGAGCCCTTGCCCACCCCGAAGGAGGGGATGAGGATGGGTGACACACACGGACACCTGCACACCGTCCCTCTGTCCCCAAAGGCACCCAACTCTTCCCACCCTGCCAGCAGCGCTGCAAGAAGTTACAGCCAAAGCCTGACAAGTTCAATGATTCATTCTCACGTTCACAATGGGGAATCCGTGTGCCTTAACATCAGGGAGAAGCGATCAGCATTTTTAAAAAGTGAGCGTTAACAGCGACACATCAGAAACGCAAATTCGGACCTAGAACCGAGTTGATGCCTTAATATCAATATCAAATTTTAATCGCTGAGCTCTTCCTACGATGGAATTCGAAACTTCAAACCTCAAAGCTTACTAGGAGCAGAACCACCCCGACAAATAATGCCCAAGTTTGGTTCTTTTAATGGCCAGCACCCGGGGCGCACACACGCTCTGCGGCGCTCCGAGCGAGCCGCCAGGACGGGGCTGCCAGCGGCGGGCGAACCCCTCACGGGCGGGCTCCGAAGCCCAGCTGCGGGCTGGGAAGGGCTGGGAAGGGTCTGGGCGGCCGCAGGGACCCGCAGGGCACCGCGGGCGGGCTCTGGGGCACGGCACCGCGACCCTTCCCTCACCCGAGCACAACTCCGCCGGGGCGCGGGCTGAGCTCCGCGGGGCCGGACGGAGAGCGCGTCCCTCCCCGGCCGCCCGCAGCAGCCGAGCGAGCACCGAGGGGCTCCTGGGCTTGCCCGCCGCTCCCCGCCGCTTATCCCACGCCGGAGAAGCAGCTCTGATCCCGAACGCCTCCTCTCCCGCCGCAGCGGGCGCAGCCCGTCCCTGCCTCCCTCCCTCCGGCGCCGAGGGAACGCCGGCGACCCCCGCACGGGCAGCGGCTCCTCCGCACCGCCGCTACTCCGGCACGGTGTAAGAAACGAGCCGGAGCCGCCCGGTTCATTCGGTCCCACAGCCCCGCCAAGGGACGGGCGCACTCACCAGCAGTCCCGCCACCCCGCCCGCTGCCCGGCGGTGCTGCCGCCGCTCCGCGCTCCGCCGCGGCTCTGCCGTGCAGGGAAGGCTGTGCTCGGCTCCTCTGAGCCCCGCTCCGCCCGGGCACTGTCCCCGCCCCGGCCCGCCCTGCCGAGCGCTCCCGCTCCCGCCCCCGCTCCGCTCGGCATTGTGGGGCTTGTGGTCGCGGAGGGCGGACTACGAGCCCCAGGGCCCCGCGCGCGGTTCCGGACAACGCCTGGTGTGTGGTAACACCGCGGATCTTCCTCCTCCTCCTCCTCCTGCTGCTCCTCCTGCTCCTCGCGGGCGCTTCCGGCGCGGCGGCGGCAGCGGCGAAGCCCCTCGGGAGCAGCGGGGGCTCGGCGGGCCGGGGCAGGTGAGGTGCCGAGCCCTGCCCTGCCCGGCTCTCGCGGGCTGGACGCGGGGCCCGCCGCGCCCTCCGGGGCTGCGAGAGGGGCGGCCGGGCTGAGGAAGCGGCTGAGGGCGGCCTCGGCGTGCGGGGAAGGTGCGCGGGGTGTCCCTTCCCCTCCCGACCGGGCCGTGACCTCCTTCCTCCGGCCCTGAGGCAGCGCCCAGGGCTTGTCCTTCTGCCCGCCCTTCCCGCGGCCGCGGGGCCGGGGCCTGGCCCCGCTCCGGGGTTCCCGGCCTGGTGCTGGTTCGCTCGGGCCGGGCCCGGCGGGCGCAGGCCCGGATGTGTTTTATTTTTGTGTGTATTTATTTTTAGCTCGTCCTCTCGGAGCGGAGCGCTGTCAGGTGGCTGCGGCGGGCAGGGAGAAAGGGCGCCTCGGCTCCTTCCCCCTTCCTGCGCCAGGGGAGGTGTAGGTTGAACGTTAGGGAGAAATTATTCACAGAACGGGTGATTAGGCATCGGAATGGGCTGCCCTGGGAGGTGCTGGAGTCACCGTTCTTGGAGGTGTTTGAGCAGAGGCTGGACGTGGCAGTGGGTGCCATGGTCTGGTTGACAAGGTGGTGTTTGTTCAAAGGTCGGACTCGGTGATCTTGGGTGTCTTTTCCAGCCTGATTGATCCTGGGCTTCCTCCTCCGCAGGCTCCCCCCGGCTGTGCCCCCCTTGGGGGCTGAGCACTCGGGGCAGGTGTTCAGGGCTGGGGTGTCCCATTAAGTTGCTCACTGAACTGGTGGGTTGGGTTGGTGTTTTTCCTGTAGCTCGCACATACTGCGTGGCTGAAACCTTGTGCTGTTCCTGTTATCAGAGGAACTAATTCTCCTCTGGTATGTGTTCACACGTTGGAATGTATTTTTGTGCCTTTGGACCTGTGTCATACCTATTTGTTTTAGGTAAAGGAATGGCTTCACTTTCACATTCCCAAAGAGGCGAAAAAGAAAGAGAAACGGGGATATGTTGTTGTGGTTATGTATTCCAACATCTGTGACCTGTTTCAGTTGTGCTGTATAACAGTTCTGGTGTTGCTGACTGCTGGAACTGGAGCACAGGCTGTGGGGTCTCATGTGAGACACACACTGGGTGTATTAGGACAGATTAAATCACTTCCATTTTGAAGTCCAGCAAAAGAACACGGACTAATTATAAGCCTGACTTCAGGCTAGGCTTGGTTTTTGTTTTTTGAGTTGATATGGTTCTAAAAATAGACATCTTGGATTTATCACAGGTCTGTGTCATTTCTGAATTAGTCATAGAACTGCTCTTACAGTAATCAAATGCATTAGCAGTTCTGCTTTGCCAGAGTGGATTTCACTGCAGGTGACTGTTACACGTCTGTGGAGATGTTTGAAAACTGCATTTCTGTTCTGGTGAGAGGCATTTGAAGACACTTTCAAACTTCAATATTATTTGCTGATTCCTTTTATTGACTTTGCAGGGAAACTGTTTGGTGTGAAAATCAGCAGGATGTGGAATCAGTTCAGTAGGATGCCTTTTAAGTCTCTTTTTATCATTGCTGATTTTAAAATACAGATTGTTATCCTAATACTTGATCTGTATGCTAATCCCAGTGAATCCACCCATACTCAGTTTTAAAAAGAAGGAAAGTAATTCTGTATCTGAAATACAAAGCTTTGAAGCTTTGTATCAAATAATCTAAGTTATACAATGGGAAATAATTCCAATTGATAATTAAAATACAGTGGCAGGTAAGGTAACATCTGACTGAAAAAGAAAGATGATTGGGTTAGGTTTTTTTTTTAAATTCAAGTGACCATTAATGATAGAAACAGTTACCAAGACAGGTTGTGTGGGTGTGTATATAGTTAAAAGAGCAAATTCTACAATTTTTTTTTTTTTTTACTTCCATAAACTTTACAACAGCAGTAGTAAATTATCTACACTCCCTCCTCCCATGCACATTGCTCTTACATTTTGATTCAGGCTCTGCCTTTGAATTCAGATGGAATTTATGCTGTTATTTCCCTTCCCCCACTCTTTCTTCCAGGACTTGAATGAATTTTTCTGGTAACTCAGGGATCTCAGATCAGGTTAAAGGTGAAACCTCTTCTTGAATCCTCCCTGCAAAAAGTGGAGCAGAACCTCTTGGCAGTAAGGTCTTTTCTAGCAGGAATGGAGCTGTGATTTTTTGCTAGAAGCCAACCACTGAAATAATAATAATATTTGTAATCACTGCCTTGGGCCTTGTTCCTCTGTAGTATTTTTCTAAAAAAGAATATTAATGTCTAAGCACTTAGCAGATCTAGGGTAGATGGAGCCTGGAGAAGGGAATAGAGACAACATCAGTGCAGAGGTAGATCTGCTGATGACAGAGCTGAAACCCTGCCAATTGATACCAAATATGTCTGTTGGTTTAAAACTTGAAAAGTTGAAATCATGAGAGCCTGCTCTCTTGGCTTTAAGCACTGCTTCAGAAGACTGTGTTCCACAAACACCTTTCTCTGCTGGAAACCTCTTCAGCCTGGCCTGGGAGCAGGTGTGGATTTGGGGAGGATCCTGCCTGCTGTAGTTACCTGGGGATGGTTGGGCTCTTATTGAGCAGCTCTGCTTGATTGTGCATGACCAAAAGTCTGTCAGTGAATGACACATATTGGACAAAGCAGATTGTCACCTTAGACACTGACAATGGTGCTTGTCCATCTGGGGAGTGTGGTGGTCTGTGCTCTTCACCCTTCTTGGCAGGAGTTGGGTTTTTGGGGGTTTTTTTCTGCTAAAGTTCAGTTGAATGATTTAAAATGTCATTGGGTGGCTATAGGGGAATAGGCCTGTCAGAGAACCTTTCCAAATCTATTCCTCATCTAAAATATACCAGCTCTCTCCATGTTTGCTGATGGCTGGGATCATATTTTAGTGCTGAGACTTAAAGGTTAGAATGTGAGATTTATCCTGACAGTGAAAGCACGTGTTCCATGTTAGTGCATCTCCTGGAATCCAGCCTGGTGTGTTTGATGGCTCAGGACTGAGCAGTAAGGCCTGCATTAACTGTATTATTTTAGCACAGTTGGCAAATGCAGGTTGTGTTTCAATTCCCTGTGTCATTCTGTCCATTCCCTCATTGCACCCCCAGAGATTTGGGTCTGGGGGCTCCCTGGAGCACAGAGGGGGTCAGGCTGACACTCAGCTCAGTGTTTGCCACTGTCCTGCTGCCTTCTCCTCATCTGCCCCCTCTGACCAATTAACAAGTTTGCCAGCAGAGTAACACCTGTTCTGCATCTTACAGTTTTCCAGGATTTTCTCAACTCTGCTGTCCTAATAAATCACTTTCTCGTGGAATCTTATTCCCACCTTTTTTGAGAATGTCAAATACAGCAGATGACAGATGAAACTAGGGTAAACTCCTCTCAAAGAAAAGGCTCTTTTGGGATTGGAGGAACTGAAGTTAAGCTGTTCCAAGACACTGTCAGGAAGTCTGGCAGCTGTGCTGAGCTGCTTTTGATCACATCCTAAAAGAAATGCTGAAAGCTCCTCCTTGCTGCTGATAATGTGCATTAAACTGCCTTGAGTCAGGCCATTTTGCAGGTTAGTAGACTTGCTGATAATTGATCTAAATAGAACAGAAACTTCAGTTTTCATGAGGATTTGCTCCCTAATCAGGATTGAGACCACCTTCAAGGGTGTTTGGATGTGGTTTAGTGCAGCTATGACAAAATGACTTTCAGTGACACAATGAACACAGAGTTTTTGTAAAGATAATTATTCTTTCTATTTAACACTAGCAAAGACTGAAGTAAGTTGCATCCAAAAGATGTGAAGTTGATTCCTGCCTGTAAATATAAACAGTTTGAGAATTTTAGCAGTCAGGTCCTTCATGACACTGTGATGCTTCCCAGTGTGTCTTCTGGAAAACAGGAAGATTCCTGAAATCATTAACAAGCAGTGTGATAAATTGAATATATTTCTTTTCATACCTTGGCAACAAAAGCATTTGGTGTTCTTAAATATTTCTTGTGCACACATATATATAAACCCACCTCTTCAGTTGCAAAATTGGTATCCTTTGTGTTAATATAAATCCAAGTGTTGTATTTTTTTTTTTAGGACTGTCAGTGTCTGGAAAAGGGGTAATAGATAATGTATAATTGTTTTTATATGAGGGTTTTAAGTGTACCATGGATTAGTAACAATAGCTTATGGTTCTTCAGGAGAAAATGAGTTCTTCATGGTAGCTCACAGTGTAATAGGTTTTCATCATCATAAAAATCCATCATTTCACTTAGTATTTCCTTTTGGGTGTGTGTGGATACTGCTAACCCATAAAAACAAAGTAATTATATCTAATGGCAATTTTGTCCTTTTTTGCCCTTCTTCCTGTGATAAAAATCTTTTGAGTAGAACAATGTTCAGTGACCTGATTTAACTATTTAAAAAAGTTACTCTGAGACTACAGATATAAAAACGTGCTATAAATTCATCTGTGAATGCAGATGTGTGAGTGGACATTCACTGAACTTCCAGAAAGGAGGAATTCAACAGCAAAAAAACCCCAAATCTGCATCCAGCAGGGAATACACATGGATAATAAATGGGACAGCTTGTACCTGCAGTAGGGAGTGAAAACTTGTTCAGACAAGTTCCCTCCCCCCATGTGAGCAGACCTGGCATGAATTTATGTAACTGAAACAAGTTCTTGGGAAAACACTCCACTTTTGGAGGAATGATGAATATTCACTTGTATTCCTCCATGTTCTTGACAGCTCTAAAATACCAAGGGTGGGTGATAAAGTTGTGAGACCCCTGATTATTGCAGTTCCATCCCTGTGGATGGATTTCATCCATCCAGACCCTTTTCTAAAGCCTTTTCTGGGGCTGGAGGAATCAGCTCATCTGTGGCACTTTGAGGCTGGAACAGCAAGAGGAACAAAGGGAGGTTTTGCAGTCCATGTTAGAAGACTTGTATAAAGTTTTTATTGCAGTCATATGGAATTTTCCTTCAGCTTTTACTTGTCCCAAAAGAGAAATGCACAAGATTTGTAGTCATCCAGTTTCTTCTCTGTGCTGACTGTAATCACTAACAAATTTCACTTGTATAATTATGGCTGAACAATTATAGATCTGCTCTGGACAAAAAATACCTGTTCTTCTGTTGAAACAGCCTGAAGATCTTCAGCCAGTGCAGAGCATAATGAGCGATATGGCTGAAAGAAATGTCTTGGCATGTTCTTAACCTGTTCATACTCTCAGGAAGGGATATTGATTGCTGGAGGAGTTTCTGCTGTTTCTTACCATTTCACTCTTTTCACTTTCTACTAAAATGTCAGTAAATTACACAGACATGCAAATGCCAGGTGTCTGGAGCTTGCTAGGAGGAAAAATCCTTCCTCTAGTGCATTAAATCCTCCAAGCAAATCTAAAAATTAAAAAGCTTAATATCTTTCTTTTTATCTTTATTTCTGACTTGGACTTCAGGTCTTTAAACTCAATTATGCCATATAAAATATTTTTTAAAGAATCTGATTAAGAGAAAATACAGCAGGCTGGAACAAGGGCTTTTTATCAACTGTAAGGTGACCTTTTTTCTTTTCCACATAATTTCTGAGTCTGAGCAGTGATGGATATGATGAGCTGGGCTGGGTGGAGAACTTCCAAAACAGAGGTTCAGTTACTGGAACAATAATTTTCCATTGAGTTAACATAGCTGGTGGCACACCCTGAGTGGAAACATGACTTCAGCTTATATAAAACCAAAGATGCAGTGTTCACATTCAGATGGGTGGAAAGTAGGCACTGATCTCCAGCAGAATCACAGCTTGATGCTTGTGCAATAGGGAGTATTTATAAATATACCTATTTATAGGTAGTTTTAATAGTCACAATGCATCTGGATGAGGCTTGGGCTCCATATAGCACTTTCCAAGTTTTTCCTGGATGGGAATTGTCAGCAACCTTATGCTGCTGCCTATGAGTGGTGGCAAGATTTTTGTAAATAGCACATAAAATCCCTGCTTTCAGGAGAATTGATTCCATAAGAACTTGAAGGGGAAAACACTTGGGGTAGCACCTTTTCTTTAAAATATTCATTTGATAGATTTCTGTTAGGGTTTTGAAGTTACACCAAGTGGTCCTTCCATGTTTACTTGACTCATGTAATAGGAAATCCCTGGTTTTTACACAGTAGGACTCACATTGATCTGTGCCTTGTCATTTTTAGAACTTGTCCCTTCTTGAGCATTTGTAATTGTGTATGTTTGTTTTCTCTTTTCTCACACACCCTAAGGGCAATAGATTTCCCAAGTTCTTCAAGAATTCTTGCACAACGAGGAAAAAGAAGAGACATTTCAGTGAATGAGGAGTTTTTTGCTTCTATAGTGTTTTCCTTGAGAAGTGGCTCTTTGAATGAGGATGACAATGGAAGAGATGAAGAATGAAGCAGAGACCACTTCTATGGTTTCCATGCCTCTCTATGCTGTTATGTACCCTGTCTTCAATGAGGTGAGCTCCAGTTTACCTTGGAATGCAGTAATCCCCTTTGTGTGGGAAATGAGGCCACAGGAACATGGGAAAGCTCATCTTGGGAAAGCTTTGTCTAACACATCTTCTCTCTCTGCATTGTTTCACCCTTCTTGCCAGCAATAGTTTCATGCTCATCAAAGGTTGCTGGTTGTCTTGGTCCTGAGCTTTTCTCTTACCTTTAACACAGGATTTTGCCAAAAATGCCAGCTCTGGTGTTCTCTGGTAGGAAATAGCACACAGTCAAACCTGTGAACAGCTTGATGCATTTTAATTTTACTGCTAATGGTTGAAATTTAGTATTTGTTTTTCTCTGAATATCAGAGCTTGCCAAGATGTTCTCACAATCTTCTGTTGGACTTTTGCTGCAAAATACATCCAGCGATTTTTGTTTTCATTTGTGGGGGGAACTCTTTCCTTTGGGATTAACTTTATAGTATCTCTGAAGTGAGACCAGCAATTTGAAAGCTTCTGTCAATCCCCCTTCCCATTCTGCTTTATGGGGCAAGGTGTGATCACTTGACTTGTTTTGTTCTGATAACAACAGAATGCTAATAATTCATTCTAAACTTTTATTGCAGCTAGAAAGAGTAAATCTGTCTGCAGCTCAGACACTGAGAGCAGCTTTTATTAAGGTGAGAAGTAACTTGCATGGAAAAATGGTTGTTTCAAAAGTAAGCTGTGTAAGATGAAGCTAAAAGGTCAGCTCTCTTGTTTCCTTGTCTTTTTATCTGAGACTTCATCCTTGATCCAGTAGTCTAAAAATAAAGTGGAGACAATTGCATGAACTGGAAGTTTGAGATGGCTGCAGATGTCATGAGTAGAAATCTGAATGAGCAATTTTAAACTGACTCTTCTCTTGTCCATATAGAACAAAAGCTTAAATGAGGGAGCAGTCAGTGAATAAATAATCAACTTAGTCTAAAACGCACAAGATTTGTAGAATAGGCTCTCATGAGCAATAGGCACGTAGCAGACTTTGAAATTGGTTTACAAAGTGAGTGGTAATGGGATTTTTTTGTGGATGAAGTTCAGTGTTTGTGTAGAAATCCAGCAGTAAATGGAAAAAAAAGATTCTTCGGACTTTTCCATTGTATTCCTAAGGAGTGAAAATACAGATATTCCTTTACATTGCTTTATTGAAGTGGTGATCTTTTCAAATATTGAAACAAAATAATGGCAGGCATGACATATCTGAGCTGTGCAAATCTGGGATACTTCCCTGTTCCTGCACTTGAATCTAATGCACCTTGATGGGCTGAAGTCTCAAAGTGAGCTCCTACAAGTGTAGGTTGGTTTTGTGTGCTTTCACAATGGGTGGGAAGGAGCTAAGCTGGATGCAAATAATGTTAAACTGAGATGTTGGTAAAAATGGTAGTGCCAGCTAAAAAACCCACAGAGGCTCATTTTTCTTCCACACAGAGCAGGTTTTTGGTAGCAGCACAGGTGATGTGAACAGCTCCAGTGTTAATGCAGCTCTGTACTTAGATATGTCATCAATCAAAAACTGGGTTTTTTTCTGAAAGAGCAATTCCCAGATGATGTCTGAGCATATGATGTGATTCATGAGAGGCACATTTATAAATGTCATGGGGAAGGTGGGGGAGTAGCACCTGTGTTGGAGTGAATTCAATTCCAGGGGATACCATATCTTTGTCTCAAAGCTTATTGTTTATGAAAATATAACAGGATAGAGGCATTTATTAAAACCTTTCTTACTCAAATTAAAATGAGTGCAAAGGCTTATTGGAAAAGTTGCTCATGCAAAATCAATGATGTAGTCCAAGAAAAACGAATTTTGTAGTGGAAAAATGTTTTTAATATAATCTACTGGTCTAAAGCCATTAGACATTCAAAGTTCCTAGCAAACTCCTGCAGTGTCTGAAACAATTTCCATGAAAATCTTGGTGCTTGCAATGTCCAGGTCTTGCATATTTAAAAATAGAAAATTTCTCTGCTTTACAGGCTGAAAAAGAAAATCCAGGTCTTACACAGGACATCATCATGAAAATTCTGGAGAAGAAAAGCGTGGATGTGAATTTCACAGAGTCTCTTCTGCGTATGGCAGCTGATGATGTAGAAGGTAATAAAACCTGTGTTGGATAACTGTATTTTTAATTACACTCTTAACTAGGAACATGCAATTCTCTATTTCTTCTTTTTTTTTCAGAAGAGATTATTTGTTTCTTAGTAGAATTTTCTCAGCGTGGTAGAAGAAATTTTGTATTTTTGAATACTGCTATAGGAGAAATTAAATTTCCCTTAAAACCACACTTGACTAATAAGAGAAGGAAAGAAAGAAAATGAATGTTCAGAACTGTGTTTTTATGGGTGCATAGTTCACCTTTTGCAATGCTAACAACCAGGAAAAGGCAAATAATGGAGTATAACATCCTCTTTTTTTTTTCCCTACTTCAAATTAAAAGCAGCAGTTACACTGTCACAGAAGGAGAATATACTGCAGGCTTTAAGTTATTTTAATACTGAATTTGATGATTTTAATGTCTCAAATAAAGTAAGATGGGCTCTTTCTCCACCATGCAGTAATGAAGGTGATAGATGCATTGTTCTGATTCACACAGGGGTTGTTCACTGCAGTTCTTTGCTGTTCACATTCACCCTGGCAATCCTGCTGCATTCTGTGTCCTGTTTTTAGCTGTCACTACAGACTTCAGGACAAACTAATGGTGGTTTTGAATATGTTCTTTTTGACAGAGTATATGATTGAAAGACCTGAACCTGAATTCCAAGATCTTAATGAAAAGGCACGAGCACTTAAACAAATTCTTAGTAAGATTCCAGATGAGATCAATGACAGAGTGAGGTTTCTTCAGACAATCAAGTAAGTACAATATGATGGATTTTGCTGCAGGTGGAGAGGTCAAACTTCTTGTATTTAGGTCTAAATGTTGAAATTCTGTAGGTGTAGCAGCATTGTTCCCATTGCCAGAGAGCCTGGTCCCACTTAGAAATGATGAGGATGTTACTTGACCAAACTTGCTGAATTTGGTCTCCTCCATCACGTCTGACATTTCCTCTGTAGGGACTGCCCTGAGAAATACTTGAGTGCTGGAAAAGGATTCAATTCCAGCATTTCATGGGATCTCCTGAGGATATTGAAATTCTCTTTTTCTTGCCCAACAGGGACATTGCAAGTGCAATAAAGGAGCTCCTTGACACAGTAAATAATGTCTTCAAGAAATACCAGTATCAGAACCGGCGGGTACGTGCACCAGCTCTTCATCCAATATTTCTAATAGCAACACAAGAAATATTGTTGTGATCCAAGGATGAACAGCAGAGCTTAGCTGGTCAATGAGACCATGCTTTAACAACAGAAAGGTTGTATGATGGGTCTCAGGAATTCCAGAGAAAAAATTATTCTTCTTTGTTTGTTCTAAAGGAAAAAAAACCCAAAAATTTTTATTCCCGATGTAACATTAATTAATCTTCTGATCAGTTAAACCTCAAGGTTCTCACTGTACCCAGAAATATGTGAACTAAGATTCTGCTCCTGGTGTTTTTGTTTTTTTAGGCACTTGAGCACCAAAAGAAAGAGTTTGTAAAATACTCCAAAAGTTTCAGTGATACTCTGAAAACCTATTTTAAAGATGGAAAGTAAGTATGCTTTTGTCCTGTTGTTTCAAGATTTACATAATGCCTAACAGGAAAATAGGACAGGCATAAGCTGCCTCTTTTAGGAGTTGCCTAATTATTTCCTTTCCTATGTCCTCTCATTACCATGGATGCTTTAAAATGCTGTTTCTTTGCCTTTGAGGAAAGGGAAAATTGTTAAATTCACCACCATGTAACATCCATGTGTGCTGTTAGTTTTGAATTTGAATGAGAAATTAAATTTCCTGGCCCTGTGTGGGTTTTTTCAGTGCATATAAAAGGACAAAGAAATTATGGATTTTTTGGTTGAGAAAAGTAATTTACCTATTTGAAGTATCATTTGCAAATACAAAACATCTGTGCAGGGTTCTCTTTGATTTACATTTTTATTGGCCTTTCTTTATAGACCCTCACAGTATCTGGAATGATTCAGCTGAATGTTTTTCTAGCTGAGCATTTTAGCCCTCAAACTGAGGCTTTTTCCAGGTCTTCACCTTGGGTTTTGCAGTCATTATTCCTGTATCATTCACTGTAGTGATTCTTTTGGAGGATGAATGGGTCCCCCTCAGATTCTGACAGAGCCAAAATGTTCTGGTTTAAAGATGGAACCAACTTTGATGTCAGCTCTTGTTGAGCTTGGCAAAGGCTGAAAACACCCAGGAGATGGTGCATTATAAAGGAGAGAAAAGTCTTGAGACCAGCTGGGAGTACAATCCTGTTCCCATCAAAGCATTCTTGTTTTTCTCTCCTTCCCCTGAAATTGGGGCTAAATTTGATACCAAAATGAGAAGTTCAGGCTTTAGTAGCTTTGCTTCCTGGACAGAAGTACTGTGTGAGCTTCAGCTTAAAGTGTGTTAATTATTTGCAGTAGTGTAAGAAATTCCATCCTGTATTTGCTCTCCTGGGGAAGTCAGGAGGAATTTCTGTCTGAGCTGCACATGGGGTGAGATCCCTGCTGCCCCCAGCACTAAACACAAGCCATGCTCAGGCATCATTCCTGAGCAGAAAACTTGTGTGACCCCACACCTTTCTGTGCAGAAAGGTAACTAAAATAGTGTGTTGCTGTCACATGTGTGCACGTTTAGTATTCCCTGAGGGAAGAGTTGCCAATTCTGGAAGTCCTAAGGGGTGAAGAGCTCAGCTTTGGGAAAGGTGTTTAACAGTCAGAGTCAGAAAATGGCTGTGACCTTAAAGATCATCTGGTTCCAAGCCCCAGTCATCTGCTCCGTGGTTTTCCCTTGGTTATCTGAATCCCAGAAGGAAAGGAAAGGATTGAGATGTCAGTGATGACAGAGAGCCAAATTCTTTCTAAATTCCTGCCAAATCAAGGCAGCCTTCCTGGGCTTAGCTATGCAGATGAGGCTGGCTGGCTGCCAGCAGGGAGCTTCAGGTAGGTCAGCACAGGGTGGAACACCCCTGTGCTTCCAGTCCTCCAATGCTGGGTGCCAGTGATGCTGGCTTTCTCCACTGCCATGTTTCTGGAAGTGTCTGAAGCAATATTCTTCTCTTTCCACAGGGCAATAAATGTGTTCATAAGTGCCAACCGACTAATTCATCAAACCAACTTGATACTCCAGACCTTCAAAACTGTGGCCTGAAAACTGTATATGTTGAGAGTTGTACTTTTCAATGGTGGATAGGGTACCTTTATATGTAAATTTTAAAGTTTTGACTGTATAAATTATCAGCCCCTCTCAAGGGGCCTAATGCAGGATTTTGAATGGGATTATTGCCATCTTACACCATATTTTTGTAAAACATTGTAGCTTAATCATAATCTCACAAGAAAGATTTTGCATCACTTTTTGCTATTATCATTCTTTTCAGAATTATAAGCCAAAAGAATTTACGCCTTAATGTGTCATTATGTAACATTCCTTACAAGAATTGTAAATATTTGGTGTTCTGTTTCTGACATTTTAACTTGAAAGCGAAAAACTGCAAGATTATGTATTTAACAATATTGGTGGCAAATATTCAATAAATAGTTTACATCTGTTAGACTGTCTTTTTGTATGTGAACAAAAGTGCATAACTCATCTTTCTAGAACTGCAGAACATTCATTCAATAGAAAAAGAAATTAAAATTATTTGGGTGCTTAAAGCTACCGGGAGTTCAAATCAGTGTAAAATGAGGGGTTTTCCTTAAAACTGAGATTTTGGCTGTTATCTAGACCAGAATATCAGAACAATTATATTAAAATGTCTTTGAGAAAGTAATAAATAAACCCAGAAGTGAGATGTGCTTTTGTTTTTGATAGAAACTAGATCTCACTTCTTTCTTAGTCTTCTGTTAGTGGCGAGTTAACAGGGTTTTTTTTTTTTTCCTAGGCTATTCCAAGGTTTGGAGCACAGGTTTATTTGAAATATATGCAGCAAAGATTGAATTTAAAACTATTCAGATAAGTGGGTTTGAATTTGTCCCCTTTGGGAGGGAGGAGGATTGGAGCTAGAACTCTTCCAGGTAGCACTAGTGATATCTATACTATGCATGCCATAAGGCAACTTTGTTTTTTCAGGGAATTGAAATCATGTGAGACCTCGACTGACAAACCTTGGCTGTGTAGATGGTTAAGAGCTGCTGCTGGACAGGTGGAAATTTTCTCTTTGTGATGTCCTGGTGATGTTTCACAAGTTCTGACGAATCCCTTGGAAGTGCACCTCGAGCTGATTTGGAAATAGCATAAACCTCTGGAAGTTTGCAAAATCTGTGGCCATTACTAGGAAGTTTAGGGGAGAATGTGAAGCAGCTTCTGAAAGCTGTTGCAGGAGGAGCACTCCAGGCTGAAAGAGCACAATTGCTCCAGAACTATTCCTTGTTTGGCTGTAAATGGTGAAGAAAAGGTCCCTGCAGATGGTCTGGCACACTGGCCTGGTGCTGTACTGCTCATCTGGGGCAAGTGCCTTATCCCAGGTACAACAGCTGGGTCCTTGCATTTGCTGATCTGAAAGGATCAAAAAGGGAGGAAAATGCAAACTGCAGCCTCCCAAATAGCACTGGATGTTCTGCTGTCTATTTGTGCATGGAATTGTTTCCTCGATGAGAGCACTGACTGTAGTCAAATAGAACAATGTGAAGGAGAGTATTGTGTACAAATGAGTTCTTTGGGAATGTATGTTGTGCAATTTTTGGTTACACATAGAGCTATAAGCAGGACGTGGTCCTTAAAGCTTGCTGGTCGGCCTGTTCTCTGTTCTGACAGTGGTGTCTTGTGTCCTTAGCAGAGTGAGCTTAGGAAAGGGATGCAGAATCAATTTATAGTTCAAACTTTCTGGTGTTTCTCAAAGCTTGGCCTGCTGAGCTGTCATTTTTGGCAAGTGGTAGAAGAACAGCAATGTTCGAGCTGACGAAATGAGAGTGATACTGAATTTGCATCGTTGCATTCTGTAACTAAAAGGGTTGAGTAGTCTCCTTGTGGGTGATTCTCAATTAAGTCATAGCTCCAGAGGGCTTCATGAAGATCCATGAGTCAGGGAGAAGGAAGGGAAAGGCCCCTGGAGTTTGTGATACTTCATCTGTCTTGCAAAGAGTGTTTGGTATTGGAGAGGCTGCAGCAGGGGCTGTAGAGAGAGAGAAACACAGAAGATTGGGTTGTGGTTTATGAGTTGGACCTGATTCCCATAATATTCTGATTTTTCTCTATTTTCTTGGATTGAGCAGGACAATTGCCAATTAGTGCTGGCAATCCTAAGTTGAATGAGACCATGTCTATGTCTATGGGTGGTAAAAAATACATATAAAAAATCCACTTAAGACTTGTGTCCCACACGAGCTGCTGTGTTATGTCCTGCCAGTTGGTTCCTTGTCAAATCAGAGGCTATTTCATCAAGAAATGAACTGTTCCTGTTCATCAGTTCTTCCCAAAACCTTTATTGGGTAAAAGGTACCAAATACAGGGCTAAGCTTCAGGTTGTCTGGCCAATGTGTTCTGTTTTATTTATAACCTCATTGTGATTTCTCTATGTTACCCTTAAAAGTAATGGAAAATTATTCATTGTAATCAATGTCTGGTAATGGGAAAACTTGAAAACTGGTGTCTTCAGGTCACACTCTTCTGTTGTGTGCAGTGAATCCATATCTAGTGGTCTTATAAACCTTTCTTTTCCACTGAATATGAGCTGGGACATATGTCTGTCAAATTTTATTGTGGTTTTGCACTTTATTATCCAAGTTACCTGAGTAGCTAAAAGATAAGTTTCTCTTAAGGATTTCTGATACAGCAGTTAGTGTTGCAAAATGCTCTTAGAAAATTTCTGCTGTGAATGTGGGTTATAACTGCTATGATAATGTTAACATACAGAAAACCAATCTAATAAACAAAATAAAACTTTGTATATTTGTTAATGAAGCAAAGAACCGTCTTAATCACTTGTTTTGATTTTCCTCAGCCTATCAAGAAGTGAAGAAGAGCTTAGGCTGGCTTGTTTTTGGCTGGAAGCTTTAATCCTGATCCCCAGATTTGTGTCCAAGTCTGTGAGAGGTGCCAGGTGCCCAGCTCAGAGCAAGGTTTATCTTGAGCTGAGGGCAAGTGGTGAGTGGGAAACCTCACAGTGTCCTGGTGTCAGACCTTCCTTGGCTCCAGCCAGCACCTGTCACAGACACATGTTCTGAAAAATCCTTTCCTTAAGATTTTTTTCTCCTAAGAAGCTGAGAAGCCCCAAAAACAAAATATAAACAATGATTATCTGCTGCTGTGGAATGCAAGAGGTGCATCTGAAATTACTCTCATGTGGTTGTTTCTAATTAATGGCCAATCACAGTCAGCTTGCTCAGACTCTGTCTGAGACACAAGCTTTTGTTATCATTCCATTCTTTTTCTATTCTTAGCCTTCTGATGAAATCCTTTCTTCTATTCTTGTAGTATAATTTTAATATATATCATAAAATAATAAATCAGCCTTCTGAAACATGGAGTCAGATCCTCGTCTCTTCCCTCATCCTGGGACCCCTGTGAGCACCATCACAAGCCCCAGCAGATAGTGTCAGTCTGGATTAAACATTATTTTATCTGGATCCCCACCACAGTGCTCCTTTTAATAATGTGCTGTTCAGATCTCACACTGTGTGTCCAGGGCAGCCTTGTTTGTTCTGCAGGTGTTACCTCCTCACTTTCCAGAGGCTCTGCCTCTCTCACTTGGGTGGGGAAGGAAGGGAAGATTGTCAAGACAAACTTGCCACAGATCTAAGCTTTAGATTGCTGCATTTATTCGATTTCCCCTTCAGACTGGAGTGTCTGTGCAATGGTAATAGCTGGATTGGGCAGAGCAGTGATTATCCCTTGCCCTTGGAGGAGGCCCTGGCAGTTGTGCCTGAGATTCTTGCTTTGCCCTGCTCAGCCTGGCTCATCTTCTCCCAGGCCTGCCCTGTGGGGAAGCACTGCAGGCAGAGTGTGCTGGGAGCTGGGCCACATCAGCCTGGGCCTTGGCACTGTTCACTCTTCTGCTTTTCCTCACGCACATCTGGGCTGATGTTGCTTTTGAAAGGGAATAGTAGGGAATGGGGTTCCCTAGCAGCAGCCTTGGTGCTAAAAAACAGGACTGAAAAGATGCTCCTGGGTCATTTGGCTTCTCTTACAGAAGTTAAAAGGTGCTGGAGAATGTTGGTCCTAAATCTGCCCAGTTCTCTTTTGAAGCCAGCTTCTTTGTCCTCACACCTTTTGTTAGATGTCATTTTAGAACAGTCTGAAAGGATAAAAAAACTCTTCAAAGATTGAAGTTTAATATGCTGCATAAATTTAATTTATGATGAAGAATTCACTAACCTTGGCCACAACCAACTGTTCTTTTCCCCTTTTCTTCACTTAGTGCTGGAGTGAATTTCGTACCACCATGGGCTTCACTTCTTACAGATGCACAGTCCCAAGGGTTTGGACCTCTAAACAAAACAAGGTGTTGGGCAATGCTAAATTTGCTCCTTTGAGGCTGAGACAAAACAATTTTTTCCTCATGCTGTAACACAAGCTTGAATTTTGTTGCAAAACTCGGTGGTGCTGTTGTCTCCAAGGCAGAGGAGGAGGTTGGGCTCACCTGGAGATGTCCCTGGGCTTCCCTGTGCCTCTCCTGCCCCACAAGGCTGTGACACAGACAATGCAGGATGCTTCCCCCCAGGTTTGCTCGCTGGATTTCCTGAGCATTTTCTCCCTGATTTCTGACTTTGCACCTTGTCCCCGTTGTCCCATCCAGCCTGGCTGCTGTGACAGCTCAGGGAGCACCTTGTCACACCAAGCACTCCTGCAGTGAGGGGACAGCACAGGACTGGCTCCTTGCTGGTCACTGGCATTTCTTCCCCAGTCGAGCTTGGCATCCTCATAATGATTTTTGCCTGATTTGGGCAAGTCTGTGGCTTTAATGTTCATTGAAGGGTCAGGAGTGGAGCTCAGCAGCACCTGAGGTGCAAGGCTGTGAACTTGGGCAGCACTGCCACACCTGGGCACTATCTGAGTCTGTGATTATATGATAAAAGGTTTTATCTCTTTCCCTCTCTCTGCCACCTGGCAGTGCTGCTTATCCCCATGTGAAGATCACAAGGCTTTCCCTGGCAGCACACAGCCACAATTTGCACTTCAGGAGCTGAGCATCCCAGGGAACCTTGTGGTGTTGGGTAAAGATCACTGTGCTCAGACAGCTTCAGTGGAAAGTTTGGTTACACTCTGCTACTGCTGCTCCTTTGGAATCTGTGTCTTGCTGTTAAAGGTTTATCAATCATGAGGATTCCTTTGCTGAGCAGTGCCCAGAGGTGGCCATGGGGAGGTGGGGTTGGTTTTGGGGGACTGTCAATGACACTGATAGGAAGAGACATTAAATTCCTCCAAGAACCAAGAGGAAAGGAAATTGTGTTCTACTCTCTCTGGAGACAGAAGTGTTCTACTTGGTGTATCCAGAAGGAAAATTGTTTTTTTTAGTGCTGTAATCCCATTATTGGTGACAAGGTAAGCAAAATAGATTTTCAATTGCTGATTTCTAATGCACGCTCTGATCTGCTGTATAAACACTTGTGAATT